GAGGCAATGTACTGGGTGAGTTTACAGCTTTTGCCCTGTGTGCTGGTGCATGCCTTTGATCTCAGTGCACAGGACAGGCAGAAGCAGGTCGGTCTTTGTGAGTCTGAGGCAAGTCAGAGCTATACATCCTGTCTCAAAAAACTGTTTTTCTATGTGCATGTATGTGTGCCTTGTGGGTAGAGGTCAGAGACTGGCACTGGGTGTCTTCCTCAACAACTTCCTACTTTATTTTTGGAGACAGTCTTTCACTGACCCTGGATCTGATGTGGCTAGCCTGGCTGGCCAGCATCTCCATCTCTCCAGTGCTGAGCTTCGTACCTGACTTTTTTACTTAGGTGCAGGGATTGAGTTCAGGTTCCCAGGCTTGCATGATAAGCACGTTGCCAATGGAGCCATTGACCCAGCTCCATCTTTTACAACTTATATGTAATTAGAAAACAAAAGGTTTCAAACCCCTGCAGATTTAATGTTAATGTACTAATTCATAACTATAAAGGAGTAAATCTGAGGCAATAAAATTGAGACAGGACTCTCAATTTAATCGGACTTACAGATTTATTAGAGCATAAGTGAGCTATCCATGGGCAAAAAGATTGATAAGACAGAAATGAGGAATAAAAAATTTACATTTATTTATATAGTGTATGTGGGGTGCAGGGAGGTGGGTGGTTGGTGAGGCACATGAAGCTACACTGCATATGTGGAGGTCAGAGGACAACTTTCAGGAGTTGGTTCTCTCAACTACATGAGTCTTGGGAACTGAACTCAGGGTGTCAGGCTTGGCAGCAAGTGCCTTCTCTCATTAGCAATTTCACTGACTCCTTCAATTATATTATCTTTGTTGTTGTCTTGTTTTTTCCAGACAGGGTCTCTCTGTGTAGCTCTGGTTTTCCTGGAAATCAAGGCCAGCCTTGAACTCAAAGATATCCACCTGTGTCTGCCGAGCTGGGATTAAAGGCATATGCCATCACCAGCTGGTCCTTTAATATCCTACAATGGACCGTCAGTGTAGAATTTCCCTAGCTCCTGGATTAGAAGCAAAGTCAACCACCCTATTAACAAAGCTGCTAGTTTTGCATACTGGGTCTTTTTTCGCTGACTCTGTTTTCCTACTTTTCCAGCACCCATGATGCAGTCCTTTGCTTTACCAGACTTTATCTGTTTCCCTCCCATCTCGTAAAATTAAAACTTCCCAGTCTTCCGGGTGTGAGGATATTTTCTGTCTCCTGGGTTAATACAATGAGCCACTGTGAGGATCAAGTAATAGAAAGTGCTATAAAAAACAAATCATGAGGCTAAAAAGATGGTTTAGTGATTAAGATCATTTGTTGCTCTTGCATAGGACACAGGTTCAGTTCCCAGCACCACATGGTGGTTTACATTCATCTGTAATTCCAGGTCTGGGAGATCTGACACCCTTCTAACCTCCACAGGCATCAGGAGTTGCTACGCTGGAGAAATGAAGCTTCTGGGGATGAGCACTAAACATATGCGCAGCTCAGAGGTCTACTGCCAGGACCGCAGCATCCATGACCTAGACAAAGGGAACCTCACTAGAATTCTTACACCTGTGTGGAGGCAGGTGTCTTTCTGCAAGTTAGTTTTCTCTTCTTAAATTGTGTGTCTGTGTGCACACACATGCCATGGTATGTGTGCATAGATCAGAGGACAACTTGCAGGAGTTGGTTCTCTCCTACCATGTAGGTCTTGGGGATAGAACTCAAGATTGCCAGACTTGGTAGCAAGTGTCTTTACCCACTGAGCAATCCTGCCATCCACATTTTTAAAAATTCAAACTCTAATTTGAGACAATTTTCTAGCTGCTCTTTATTGTCCTCTCTAATACTATTAATAACCAAACAATTATGGCTAATTACAGTTAACAGCTATATGGCTTATTAGGAGCTAAGCTGTTCTCAGCAGTTGGTTATCTCATTTAATGAATCCTAAGCTGAGGCAGATATTCTTATCATTCTCATTAAAATGAAAAAACAAACCCAAAACTCGTGCATAAGTTGTCATAGAGATAGGAGGGCGCAGAATCCAACCCACGTACGTAATTGCTATGTCTGGAGGCTGCCACTAAAATGTTGGCATTATCCAGAGTTCTACCCTGCATCCCTTTTTCCTCAGTATTGAACATTTGTGTGCGCACCTTATTATCTCCCCTACTTTTAAAAAGATTTTTATCCTTATAGTGTTCTTAAGCCTGATTTTTCTCATGTGCCTGTAAAACCATTTTCATTTTCAAACTCAACCAGCAGACCAAACACGAATACAGGGGTTTACTAAATAAAGCTCTTCTTAATAAAGTCTATTAAGTGGAACGAAATGTCCATTTGCCACAATATTGGTGGCACTTGATCAGATGACTAAGATGGTGTCTCAGGTGTTGTCTACTGGGCTTCTCAGCATCATGAAGTTATCTAGTTTTCTCTGCTACATGCTTTAGCTGTGGCTCTTAGACATGCTAGTCAAGTGCCCTCCCTTTGTAATTACTAAGAGTTTTGTGGGGATTTATTTGAAATTGTTACAATCCTTATCAAACATACATTTTATATCTGTGCAATTTCATTTGTTATTTGATGGGCTGTAGTACATTATCATTAACAACAATGAAGCTCTGGGCCAGAGTCGGCTCAGCAGGTGCTTGCCACGCAAGCCTGAGGACCCGAGTTTGCCCCACATGCAGATGAACAGTGGAAGAATGGACTCTGGAAAGTCGTCTTCCACAAGTGCGTACACGCTTGTCCCACAGCACGTGTGCAATCTCTCTCACATGAAGCTCATTTATTTTCAATAAAGTCCAAGAAATGCAAGTTAGTCTATATCCTTTTGACCCGCTTTATTAGGTTATGCTTTTTCATTTTATTTTTAAGACATGGTTTGTGTAGCCTTGGCTGTCATGGAACTTGCTCTGTAGACCAGGCTGTCCTTGAACTCATAGATCCGCCTGCCTCTGCCTTCTGTGTGCTGGGATTAAAGGCATGTACCAGTACACCTGGCAGTTTTTGCTTAAATTCTTTTATCTGACACAACTAAGGCTCCAAGTTCATCTTGTATTTTTTTTTCTCCTCCAGTCTTGGATCCAACTATTTTGCTAAGAAAAATGGGGAATTGTATTTAGAAGCCAAACTCTGGACTGTTTTACTCACAGATCCTCTCAAGGGACAGAGTATTAACATATTTATATTTCTACAAATAGAGACTGATCCCGTTATTACTAGCCTACCAGAAAGGTTTTCTAGATTTTTTCTTACATATATGTAACTTTCTTTTTCAACAAGGAGAAACTGGGCTCTCATTTTGCTTACTATAATTACCTACTGAACCAACACGCTGTACATCACCAAGTGTTAACTCTCCCAAAGCCAGGTGTGCCCTCAGAGAACACTGTGCACATGGCTGCTTTCTGCTCGGATGCCTCTGGCTTTAGCAGATAACTCTGGCTGCCTTGGCCTTTCACTCACTGGTTGTATTGTCTTTTGACCTCATGCAAACGCTACAGAACACATTAAATTCATTCTTTTTATATTTCTTCATCCTCTCTCCCTCTTTCTTTTCCCTTTGCCTCAGTGAGGTGATTAAGGAAGGCATCATTAGCCATATATTTTTTTTTTTTACCAGATCTTTGGGAATTGGTCAATGATACATACGCTAAATTTACACTCAAATTCATTGAGTTTGTGTGAAGTATGACTTTCTTTTCCTGTGATGTGAGAAACAGTAGTGCATAACAGAAAGGACTCGGTATAGAAAGAAGAAACAAGTTTAGTTACAGTTCTGATACTGTACTAAGTTACTCATTTTCCTCTACTTGGAAAAAAAAAGGGGAGGGGGCTAGACTAACTAAGGACATTTACTGCTTGGGGACAGCGAGTCGACTGCTGCCTGCCCATTTTCCAAACAAAACTTACCTAGGGAGTTCTATTGCTCTCCCTGATACGATACAAATGTTCACAGAAATTCAGCTTCCAACACTCCATGTGATAATCCTTAACATTCTTTCTACCGTTCATTTCTCGCTATTTATTAGATGCTTTTATTCTTCAGTTTATCACTTGACAGTTAATTTGGCTTCATCTTTTACTGAAAATCGGTGACGGCCTGTAGTGCGCCGATTTTTTTAAGTATCTCTTTTCCCAGGGAAAAGACGGTTCACATGTTCTCCCCAACTTCCCAATTAGCAGAGCAGAGCAGTCACAGCCAAGCCTCGTTATTTGTAAAACCGCCGGTTCTTCATTCCTCTCACCAACCCCGTTTCAAGACTGTCCCCCACCCCCGCCCCCGCCCGCCCCTTGGCGACAGATACTAACGGAATTCCTCCCGGAGACAACGCTCTTCCTCCTCACGGCGGCTCCAATCAACACCCTGATTTCCGAGTCGTTCCCTGGGAATCTGAGCGCGACGCTCTCGGAAGTTTGAGTGCGTCTCACAAGGCATTCCTCCACTTCGGGAGGCACAACTGCCTGACGTGTCACCCCGGCTGGGGCCCACGCAAGGCGGGGGTGGCATCCTCAGTGGGCGGCTGCTAACTGACGTGAGGCGAGGCGACCCTGGAGGGCTGAAACTTCCTAGCTTCTCCGCCTCGGACCAGAACCACCGCGTCTCCCCGTCTTCACGCGGCAGGAACTGCGCCACCCTCGGCCCCCGCCGCCCCCAGCCCGGGCTTTCTCTCAGCGACAGCGAACCCCGCTCCACGCACGCTCCCGCCGCCGTCCTCCGTCCCCGAGCCGCGCGCCCACCCTGGCCGTCGCGCGTGTCCTCACGGCGTCTCCCCCTCCTCCTTCCCGACCGCCAGCCCTTCGGCCGGTGTCGCCGCGCGGGTCGCCGCGGAAGGAGCCGGGAGCGCGCGCAGCGGCTGAGAACGTGCGCGAGACGCACAGCCCCGCGCCGAGCGCCGGAAGGAGGCGGCCGGGCCTCGCGCGTCGCGCGCGCCGCCCCCGCCCCTGCGCCGCGACCTTGCTCGCGCGCGCGCACTAAGGCGCCGCCGCCGCCGCCGCTGCCGCCGCCGCCGCCGCCGCCGCCGGGGCTGCTGCTCCGGCTGCTGCAGGAGGCGGCGCTGGCTGGCGGCTGCGCTCGCTCCAGTCGGCGAGCGGAGGAGCGAGCGAGCGTGTGTGTGTTTTTTAAAGATGGCCGGAGCGGCGGCGGCGGTGGCCGCGGGAGCAGCAGCTGGAGCCGCCGCGGCAGCGGGGTCGGTGTCGGCTCCGGGTCGGGCCTCGGCGCCCCCTCCGCCTCCGCCCGTGTACTGTGTGTGCCGGCAGCCGTACGACGTGAACCGCTTCATGATCGAGTGCGATGTCTGCAAGGACTGGTTCCACGGCAGGTAAATAAACCCCCTCAGCCCCGCCGCCGTCGCCCGCGGCCACCGGCCAGCCTCCTTCGCCGCGCCTGTGCCTCGCTCGGGCTGGGCCGCCGCGTCGCGCCCCACGTCCCGAAACCCGGGCGCTGAGCCCCCGGGCCGGGCGGAGGCGAGAGCGGGGGGCCCCCGCCTGCCGGGCAGACTGCGGTGCGGAGCCGGTGGGCTCGGCCGGCCCGGGCGAAGAGTCGCCACAACAAACAGGAACAAAGGGGCCGGCGGAGAAGTTGGCAGGGGAAGCCCGGGCGAGGGGACGCGGCGGGCGGCGCGGCTCTGGTGACGGCGGAGCGCAGGCAGGCCCGCAGCTCGTCGCCCCCCACTGCCCTAGCTGCGGCCGGGCGCAGTGTCCCGGGCTCCCGCCGCCCCGCGCCTGCCCTCGCCGGCCGCCGCGCCTGCTCCGCTTCCGGGCGGCCGCCGCTCTGTCCGGCCGCGCGTCGTCCCCGCCGCGGGTCCCGTCGCGCCCCCTTCTCTCTTTATCAAACTTCCTCGGGCGGCGGGACGGGGCGGCGGGACGACGGCGCGGGGCGGCGAGTAAACAGAGCAACAGATGAGGAGGCACTCGCTCCTCGCGAGGTGCGGGGCCCCGTCCCGGCGCAGTTTGCCTGTCCGCCGGCCCAGCCCGCAACACACCCCCCTGCGGCCGGGGGGGGGGGGCGGGCGACCCGGGTCGGGGCACGTCGCCGCAGACCCTCCCCGGCGTCGCCGTGGCGTCGCACCTCAAACTTTACACTGAGTGCGGTCTCCGGCGACACCGGGACGGCCCGCAGCGGTGGCCCGGGCGCCGTGGCTAGCCAACTTTGGGGCGGTGCGGTGGCGGACGCTGCCCTCGGACGCCGCCGCCGCGCCGCGCGGGTTTGACGTTTCGGAGAGCTCGGGCCGCCTCCGCAGCCAGGCCGCCGACTCGTGTGTTTTGTAATCAAAGTGTGAGGCTAATAAAGGGCGGCGCCACAGCCTCTTGACTCCGGCGTGGGAGGGATTCGCAGGCATTTAAACAAAGAAACTAGTTGGGGTTGGGCTCCCAAAGTCCTTATTTGGGTGTTGTGGCAAAGCCTGCGGTCACCTTTAGGTGAGGCAGGTTTTCTGGGCGCCGTAGGATGTTGTATCTTGACAACAGCCCGCTTGGGAGTTATCGCTGATATGGTGACTGTGGTTGTAGGAAGTATCCTTTGATTGACAGCAGGGCATTTAAATACAGCCCCCGCTCCCCCTCCCCAATTTTACAGAAACATTGCACCACCAGGCCAGATGCGTTAGTCTCCCTCTACTGGTCTGGGAAGAGAAAACCGTTGATGTTACAGGGTTTTCAGTGGTGTTGACTAACTAGGTAGAGTTCGACTTAATTTTCAAGTACAGTTAAATTTACTTAGTTTTAAAGTTAGGTGTCCCTAACAATAGATAGCACACACAAAACTGTCTCTTTAAAAGAAGGGTAACGTAATCACTTTTGTGTAAATGCAAATTCCAGCAGTCTGACAAAAGGTGAAGGGTATTGTCATGCCACTTAATAAATGTTTTCCTATATTTTGATTATTCACAAAGGTGAAATTTGTAGGTATCAGACCTTACCGAGTCTGTCTATGCCTACATTCTCCGCTTCTACAAAATTTCAAGCAACCAGAGAAGACTATCCAATCTTAAATTCTAAAAAGAATTAGTTGCAATTTCTGAAAGGTTGAAGTTTCCAGGGGATGATTTGATGGAAAATATGCCCCGTTGTGTAATTCATGGATCTGATAGCTTAATAAGTTATAGATTTGAAGTTATTAAAGCTAATGTTATTGTAATGTGTGTGCTGGGGAGTCAACCTCAGGTGCTCATGCTTGTGCTGCAAGCGTGCAAGCACTCTCACCCCCCCCACCACACATATACACACACACACACACCAGTTTTTTGAGACAGTGAGTTTCTGTATAGACCTGGCTATTCTGGAAGCATCATAGGTCAGGCCTCCAACTTGGAGATCTGCCTGCTTCTGCCTCCTAAATACTGGGACTAAAACCATGTACCACCATGTCCAGCTGCACTTTTTGGTCTTAAATTAGGTGTCTTAATGCTAGAGCATGATAAACCTAAGGTGTTTCCTAACAACCATTTATGTTACACATTTAAGTACCAGTTTGCAAACAGGAGTTGAAGAGGCAAAGAGGGCAAGTATCCTCTCATTGTCTCAGATATGTGGAATCTCATCTGTGGAGGGCCTCAGGTGAGCCCAAGGTCTTCTTGACCACTAATCTTTCGAGATGTTAAAGTGGTTCACATGGCTAACTAAAAAAGTTATTCATACTGCCACATCCCATAAAAGTGGTATCTCTTTAGTAAGTCTAATTTTTAAATACTGATAATTTAGAATCTATTTGCCTTTCCTATGATTGATATTTATTCTAATGAGTCATTTTTAAACACAGTAAAGTGTTACTTATGTATTAATTTCTGAGCATTTTCGTACATGAGAATTGGTCCCTAAAGAACCCTCGGGTTTCCAAAAATGGTCCATCTGCAGAGGGGGGAAGATGAAGAGTCTTTACATGGATGATTTCTTTCTAATTTTCTTTTTCTTTTAAAATGTGTTATTATTGTGTGTTCTAGGGATGGGACTCAGACTGTCAGGCTTGCAAGGCAAGCAGCTTTTACCAGGCATATCTATTGTCTGGGGACCCCATAAGTGGTCTTTATTTCTTCTGACAAAGAAGAAAGGGCCTTCCTTGATGCAGCTAGGCTGCAGGGCGACTAGGACAGCTTCCCCTCAGGTTGAGACCCTTGAGCTTGGTGCATCCTTGGCTCGGGAGTTCCCATCCCTTAGCCTGCCCAAGCCTTTTTGCAAGGGAAAGAATAAAAGGATGCTTAACTAACAGGCTGTAATGTATAATAGATACCCTGGGGTCAGTGAGCTGAGAGATGGGCAGGGTTTTCCTAGGGAATTTTTTTCAAACTTAAAGAGCTCTTCCTCCAGTCCTGATGGAAGTCCTCCTGGGGCTACTCCATGACTTTAATAGTGCTTTGAAAGCATCCCGTGAAAAACTACACCATTGTTCTGGTTCAGTAGTACCAGAATGTTGTGTCTTGTTTAGAATTAAACGCTTATATATCTCTATAATCACTTATTCTTTAGATTTACAGGAGCAGTTATTACAGGAATTTAAAAAGTATAGAGAAATATAAATAATTTGAAAGTCCCTATCTTTCATGGATAACTAGTACTTAATGTTTGAGATATGACTTTTTTTTAAAAACAATTGGATTTTGCTTTATGTATTGTTACATTTTTAACTAGTGTGTACTTTTTGTCATATTTTTAATGCTATTTGAAATTTTTTTAGTGGCTGTATAGTGTTTTTTTTTTTTGCCATGCAGTGTTTAATTCCACAGAATCATAACATTTGAAAGTAATTTTCCTGTTGTTATTACTTTGTTTTGCTACTTGCATTTATTAATGGTGATACGATTTATACCCTTTTAACCAAAATTTTGTGAATATTTTTGTTTCCTTAGATTAACTCAAATAGACATCCTGGCTTATGCTAGGTATTCAGTAAGAAATTCCTTGAAACAATTGATGTTAGAAGGCACAGTTGTTTTTTGTTTGACATGTCTTTGCCAGGTTATATTCTAAAATGTTGCTCAGTTTTTTCTTCACCAGTGCCCGCTTTAGTTCCCTGTGTCTTTGACAATATCAAGTGTTACTTTCTTTATCAAACAAACAACTTTGGCAATTTGTATATAAGTGAATATTATTCAAAAAGGCCTTGGGCATAATGGATAATAGGGGAACACAAATTTGAGTCTAGTCCAGTCTACTTAATGAAACTGTCTAAAAACAAAACAAAAAAATAAAAAAAAATCCTCACTGCCAGGCGGTGGTGGCACACGCCTTTAATCCCAGCACTTGGGAGGCAGAGGCAGGCGGATCTTTGTTAGGTTGAGGCCAGCCTGTCTACAAGAGCTAGTTCCTGGACAGGGTCCAAAGCTACAGAGAAACCCTGCTCGAAAAACAAAAAAACAAAAACAAAAAAAAATCCTCACCAAAATAATAATACACAAAAAAATGGTTTTTAACTGTCCTCAAACTAAAACAACCCAAATATTAACAGTAGATTGCATGAATTTGATATATTCATAAAGTGGAATAACACTCAGCAATAAAAAGAATACACTATTGGTTCATGCAGCAACATGGACGAAACTCACAGATAAAGAGTTGAACATAAAAAGGTAGAAATGAAATAAATTCTGCTTTTAATCCCAGCACTTGAGAGGCACAGGCAGGCAGAGAGCTCTGTGTGTTGTAGGCCAACTGGTCTACATATCAAGTTCCAGTCCAGTTAGGGCAAATAGTGAAATTCTGTCCTCAAACAAAATACAACAAAATGTTTTTAAAGTTAAGAATTGTCCAGTTTGGCAGGTGACAAATAACATTCAGGTTGTTGGTAATGCTGCTTCCCTGTGGTGTGCTTGTGGAAAGCCTGTGTCCACGATGCTGACAAAGTGCTGATTCAGAGGGAAAGGAAATCCATATCCTGAGTGTGGATCCTGTGGAAATCTAGGAAGAGTCAGAATACCCGTTTGGAGAGTAGAAGAGATCACTGTCTGGTTTTGTAGGCAGGTCTAGTACTTTGAATTTTACTTTTTTTTTTTTTTTTGATACATGGTTTCCCTGTGTAGCCCTAACTGTCCTGAAGGCCTGAAACTCCTGTAGACCAGCCTGGCCTCGAACTCAACAGAGATCCACCTGCCTCTGTCTCCTGAGCATTGGGATTAAAGGCGTGCACCACTACTGCCTGGCTTTGATTTTACTTTTAAACAGATGGTTTGCTTTGGATTGAGGTATCAAGGAGTTGACAACCTTTTATAAGGATTATTCTTGGTCTTGGGCTTGTCTGAGGATCCCTGCATTTGATTCCCTGCACTGGAGGAGAATCATTCTGCTTGTACATCAGAATAGACTGGAGGTGGGTGAAGGTAAAGCTAGG